ATATTAAAATTAATTATTATTTAATTAATTTTAATTACTATAAATCAATACTTATGAATAATTAATATTTATTTATAATTAATAATTTATACTTATTTATAACTAATAATTAATTGATTATAAATATTAAAATTGGAAAAAAAAAGTCAAAAAGCTCAGCATAAACTACTCCAAGTAGCTTATCAATAAACTAGTTTTTGTTCATTCAGACGATTACTCAAAAAATAAGCTAGCTTATGTTTGCCAAACAAAACAATGATTTAATAATATAAAAAATGAACTTTTCAGTAAATTTTCAAGAGGAGTTTATGCAAAAAATCAAGTTTTTTCCAAACTTGTTCATCTCAATTAAAAACACGTTTTTTTCATCAATGAAAACCTTTACAAACAAAAATCTTTCCAATCCACACAAACAGCTTTATTGATACATGATTTAATAAAAAACCAATAAAACAACCCATAATACACATTGCTAACATTGTTATTACATACCCAAAGAAAATATATAAAATTCATTCGTCTAACCCATTGAACTTTGTAAATCTAATTTCATCGATAGAGAAAATATCCATTTACTTTTACATTTTAAAGAATCTTAGGGGTTGTTTGTTTATCTCTTAATAGTTTTATTTTGAGACAATTCTGAATCATTAAGAGGTGAATTTGACAAAAAAAAAATCGTCTCTTAATGGTTCTAAAACCATTTGAATAATTTTGTATCCTAGGTCTTCCTTAACCATTCAGCACCATAATTTAATTGTAAACAATTATCAAACAATTATATTTCATTTTGTAATATATCATGAGAGCTTCTTAATTATTTTACACTAAGGGGTTATTTGACAGTTGCTGAATGGTTTGTTGCAGAATGATTAAGTCATCGAAATGATTAAGAGGCTCTAATGATATAGTACAAAATAAAATATAATTGTTTGGTAGTTGTGTACAATGAAATTAAGGCTCTTAATGGTTAAGGGAGATCTATGATACAAAATCATTCAGATGGTTTTTTAGAACCGTTAAGAGACAGACTTTCTTTTTGTCAAACAAGATTCATCTCTTAATGATTCAAATGTTGCATCTTAATAAGACTATTAAGAGATAAACAAACAACCCCTAAATTACTCAACAACTATCAAACAGTCCCTTACAAAGAATCAGTAAAAATTAATTTTTTTTATTTATGAACAAATAAAACAAAAATCTTGATTTTGGGCAACAAAATCAATACATTATCGACATAATTATTACAGTTTGCTACGTATATAAAAGAATCGCGAAAATGATGCACAAATAATTGTTACCAATATATACATACACACATATATATATATATATACACACACACACCCCACAATCATGATCCAGTAGATATCTGCCAGCTCTGCAAAGCACCTAAATTTTTTGGGGACGATGGTTTGTGCAGAACATCAATACGTCCCGAATCTTGAAGACGAAAAGGAGAGTACGAGAAGCCACGACATTTGTATGTATTCAAAAGAGAAATATATGCGAGTGTGTGAGTGTAAAGTCTAGTAGCAAATTTTGTATTTATTCACTCCAAAACAAAGAGAGAGAAAAAAGAGGGTAAGTGTGTGTGTGTGTGTGAGAGAGAGAGAGAGAGAGAGAGAGCGTGTGTGTAAACAGTAGTTTGGTACGTGAAAAAAAGAATCTTTTCTTCTTCTTCTTCATCTTCATCTTCATCTTATTCATTGTTTGTGAGTTTTTGCAGAAGAAAATAGGAGTTATTAGGGTTTGTTTCTGCAGATTTTGGTGTTCTTCAGCAAAATAGGTATGTTGTACTCCTAAACCCTCTTTCAATTTGGATTGAATCTTGTTTTTTTAGCTTGATTTCCTCTGGGTTTTTGCCATAAATGAAATCTTGATCTTGGGTTTTGTGTTCTTGTTTCAATTTTAACTGAAACTTATGATTTCCCCCAATTTAATGATATCAAATGCCATTGTTTCTAAAGAGAATAATGATTTCCATTTGTTTGATACTTAAAGACTGATTACCCAATTCATCTGAGGCTTTCTTGTAACTAGTTTTATGGATTTCTGGAAAATTTGTTTCCCTAAAAAGGGTAACTTGAATAAAAAAGTAATAGTAGGTATATGCCATTTTTGTACAGCAGAAATCACTGATCTTTCCCTTGGGTGTTTGCTGTTTTCTTGCATTTATGCTGCAATTCAACTAAATATGATCCAATATTTCAATATCTTCAACACTCCAATTGATTCAGTTTTGGTTTCATTTGATGCCTTGAAAACATGATGTTGGGATTCAATCATATTCGTATATCTGTTCGCAGTTACGTTTATATCGTGTGAATTTAAGGAAAGAATCGATTGGTGGCATAGTTCTGTGGGGAGGAAATTGGACATGAGTATGCTGGTGGGGACATGCTCCATCCAAGGGGAACGGATTTAGCCGGTTTGGTTCTGGTGTTCGTTGTGCTACCGCTTGTTGCTTATATCTTGTTAGGAAAATGGAGTGAGGTTTCGAAGAAGAAAGACAGGGTACGGGTTCTTGCTGAGATTGCTGCGGAAGAATCTTTTCGTGCTGAGGCTATGGCTGCTGTTGCTACTGTTGTCCCTCTTGCATCTCTGCCAAAATCGAACAGTGGATTTCATGAATGTGCAAGATGCTTTAGTCTAGCCACCACTCGATGTTCACGCTGCAAAACTGTACGATACTGGTATGTTTAACTCCTTTTGTTTGCTTTTACAAAAATTTGGCCTCGACTAGTCCCATGGGGCCCTCTTAATATAACAACTAGGAAAATCTCAAATGGCCCTAAAGATAACAGTCAGGAAAATCCTCAGTGGCCCTAAAGATAACAACCAAGAAAATCTCCGGTCGCCCTAAAGATAACAACCAAGAAAATCTTCGGTGGTACTAAAGATAACAGCCAAGAAAATCCGCTGTGGCCCTAAAGATATCAACCAAGAAATCCCTAGTGGCCCTGAAGATAATAGCCGAGAAAATCCCCAGTGGCCTAAAAGATAATAGCCAAGAGAATCCCCAGTGGCCCTAAAGATAACAGCCAAGAAAATCCCTAGTGGCCCTAAAGATTAGAGCCAAGAAAATCCCGAGTGGCCTAAAACATAACAGCGAACTTGTGGTCTATGGGGAGGAGTCCCAAGGTCTAGCCTTTATTTGCATTGATCTTGAAGTGAATGCCTACTACAATTATAGGTTTAGCTTATGTTTTAATTGGTTAAATCTGAAGAGGTTTCAAGTCATTCTTATAAGTGTACAGTATGTTTTGGGATGTAGATATTTTAGGGTTGCTTTAAGTTTATCATTATATAGTTATGTTATAATTTAAGCAAGAAAGTACGAAAAATGTCATAAAGGGGTATTTTGGTCATTTATCGTAATTTCATTCCAATTCCGAAGCTACATTCTGCCAACTAAACATACTCCAATTCCTCCGACCAATCGCATGGTCAAACCTGATTAAATTCCATTCAGATTCCAATTCATACCGTTTGTGCAGTTCTGGGAAGTGTCAGATAATTCATTGGAGGCAAGTTCACAAACTAGAATGCCAACCGTTGGAGCACAACAGCAATTGCCCGTCTCCTAAGTCTGCGTCAAATGAAGAATTTGTATCCGTCCATGAACAAGTATCGTTGAGTAAGAACTTGGATTCGGGGTGCTTACAGTCCAATATCGAGCAAAATGGGCATGAAAATGCTGCTTTTGATGATTCACCCAATTCATCTTCTGGGGTCGTTTTGGAAAGAAGAACCTCAGATAAACACAATCGTCGCAAATTTAACCGGGAAATTTCGAGAAGAGAAGAGATTTCTGCATTGGATTCATCGGCAGATACCTGTTCTACGTCATATGATAATAAGGAAACTTTCATCAGACATAAGGTTCTTACCTATCTACTGTTTTTTTAATCGATTTTCTTGTTTTCATCTCTTTTTATGGTGTTTTTATACTAAAATTGCTCACAGCAGCCCAAGCGGGGTCATTTTGTGCTCGTGAAAGAAGTGATTCCGGAGAAAAATAACACTGATAATGCGACACACGAGGGTCTAACAGCAAACAGTCCACATGACTTGGTAACATCGACTCAAAATGGTACAAAATCATTAGAAATGGAAACGGAGTTGATGGATGGATGGAGCAATTCAAGTCACGAAACTTGCGAGAAAGGCCCGCCAAAGAAAAGTAATTTGGTGAAATCAAGATCGCATTCTTCTGGAAGCAAAGTGCATAAATTCGCAAAATCAACCGAAGTGTCAAAAGATCAAACATGCTTAGGAACAGAAAATATGGGAGAAATTGATGACAAGCTGGGTAGGTTTCAAGATCGTTACTTATTGTGATCTTATTTATTTAAAGTAACGAACTTTTTCTTATGTACTACGATGCAGATATTCTGCGAATGAGGCATGCCAAAGGAAACGGCATCATTAGCAAGGGATTTATGAAGATGATTGGTCTAAAGAAGTCATCGAAGCATGACCAAGTGGAAACTTCAGAAGTTAATGGTGACACGCATAAGAAAACCAAAGCAAGTTATTACCATCAAATCATTTGGATAAACATAAATAAACTAAGGGTTTGTTAGCAGCTTAACGAGCTTAATGGGACTCACAGCTTATTGGGTCAGTTATACATGACTGTTTGGCAGTGGCTTAATGATATAGAAACTGGCTTATTCAGTAACCTTCTTCAGGGAAGCTTTATGCAGAAAGCCAAGTTTCTTCCAAACATGTCCCCCCAATTAAAAACGTGCTCCTTTCATTTATGGAAAAACCCTCCCAAACAAAAACTTTTTCAATCTATACAGACAGATTAATCCTCACAGACAACCTTATCCATACAGGGCTTAATGGAAAACCAATCAAACAACCCCTAAGGCAATGTTTGGTATCCATAAGCCAACTTATTTTTTGAGCTTATTGAAAAAACCCTGTTTTATTAGCCAAAAACTAGCTTAGCGTTTCAATAAGCTCTTGGTAACACGTCGATGTTGGGACTTGTATAGAATCTTTCTTATAGTGATCATATTTTTGCAGATGCTATTTCCATATGAAGAATTTTTGAAGTACTTCAAGTACGAAGCTTTTGACTTCTCACCAAGGGGCCTTGTAAATTGTGGAAACAGGTCCGTTAGCATATTGCATACACAGAAAAATATGAAATTATTGCATCATTTCTTTATATCATTTTGGGTGGCGTTTGGTACACAGTATAGGACATGATAGTACAAAAACTTCTTGTCCCACATTTTTAAACCCGTGTGACGCCACATTAGACGGGGATTGGACAGGACTTAAGTGGGACAAAAGTGCGTTTTTTTCTGACCCACGGAAATAGGTGGAACAAAAGTCACGGAGACGGGACAAGATTGGTAAATTACCAAACTACCCCATGTCAAATTAAAGCCCCAAACCTTCAAGAATTCTTTCACCACGTACCAAATGCACCCTTAGGAACACATTTAACCATCTTTTTGTTACTTGCCTTTGTTTTTATGCAGCTGCTATGCAAATGCTGTGGTGCAGTGCTTGATGTCTACAAAGCCTCTGACTATCTATTTGCTCCATAGATCACATTCAAGAACATGTAATTAACACATTCTCATTATGTCATTTGGGATTACTCTTAACCATTTTTTCAAAACTTTATCATATTTGTCTCTCTCTTTGTCACACTTTTCACAAGCCGGGGGTATTTATGGAAACAACCGCTCTACTTTTTGGGGTAGAGTTCATGTCTGTCTATATCTTACCCTTCCCAGACCCCACCTCCAGGTGGGATGTACTGGTTTGGTTTATTATATCATGATATTCATCATGAATATATCATTATATTCATTAATGAATATATCATGATATTCATTGATGAATATATCATTTGTGATTCATTTTCTTGTTTATGGTTAGGTTGTGCAAAATCTTGGTGCCTGATGTGTGAACTTGAGCATCATGTAATGATGTTACGCGAAAGTGGAGAGCCGTTGTCTCTGAGCGGCATTCTTTTGCATATGCGGAGTGTTAATTACCAAATTGGAGGAGGTAGCCAGGAAGATGCTCATGAATTTTTAAGGTTGGTTAATGCTTTCAAACAATTTTGTTGACTTTCGCGTTTCTGTGTTCCTATGTACTCTTGTTGGAGTATAAAAGCTCTTTTGAGTTTCAAGTTCAAATATGAAGATAGGGATTTCGTGTTAGTATTCATGTTGATTGCCGCATTTCCGTTTTTAGGGTTTTGATCACCTCGATGCAATCTATATGTTTGGAGAGTTTGGGTGGGGAAGACGTTGTTGCTCCTAAATTGCAAGAGACAACCTTTATTCAACATACTTTTGGAGGTCAACTCCGGTCAAAGGTGAAGCAGCTTTCTGCATTTTTTTCTCGGTTAAGTACCAAAAAGACAAACGTCATCTCAAGCCATATCAGAAACGACAATCGCAGAATGGAGATGCATATATTTGTTAAGGGGTGTGTTCGTTTGAGAACCGTGAGAAACAAATATTCATGATGAATATGATCGATATCTTGATAAATATTCATGATGAATAACATGAATGAATGTTCATTAATGAGGCTGCAATATGTTCATGTATAATCATCATGAATGCTTATGTATATTCATCATGAATACTTGTGTATATTCATCATGAATAGTTGATTCGCCCCTAGCTAACCTGTCTTTTCTATTTGAAATAAATCATAATCACTTTGCCGCATATACTACATCGAATATCAGGTCAAATGTCTGAGATGTCATCACGAATCGGATAGATACGAAAACATTATGGACCTTAACCTCGAGATATATGGCTGGGTCGAGTCGCTAGAAGACGCACTTACCCAATTCACAAGCGTGGAAGATTTGGATGGAGAAAACATGTATAGATGTGGAAGGTTTGTTGATCATTTATCACTTCATATCGACATCCATATTCATTTATCGGTCCTGCATTTTGTATATAAATTTGAAGACTTACGTTCTAGTAAAATATTTCTTTTTTGAAGGTGTGCTGCTTATGTTCGAGCACGGAAGCAATTGGCAATACACGAGGCTCCGAATATATTGACAATTGTATTGAAGAGATTCCAGGTATTAGAATGCTAGTGGTGTAATCGGCCAAACATACTGTTAGCTCAACTGGCAAATAAACTCTACGCCTTGGAGCTTGTTCCCGTAGGTCGCCAGCTCGAGTCTCCTCTGGGCCACTGGGGATTTTTTGTGGTTGTTGCCTTCAGGGCCTTATGGGTGCGTTTGGTATCCAGACAAGATAGGACAGGTTAGAACACTGTTCAGTGTGTGGTAAGACGGAACTGGACAGAACAAATAAAATGACCAATTTATGTAATTTATTAAATTGTAATTAAATAACTATTTTTTATAACAAAATATATCATCAGAAAGTTTTCATCAAGACGGTTAAAATGACACCAAAATAAATAGTTTATGTAGTTTCCAACTTTTATTTTGTACCTTTGCTATATTATTTTATTATTATTAATATTTAATAAATTACATAAATTAAACAAAATATAGAAACCGTATAAAAATAATATTTTGAGGACAATAAAGTGAAAGTTTAAAGAACATAAAATACAATAAATAAAAACTAAAGAACGAATACAATGTAAAAAGAGAGGTGTATTTGATGTTTTAGAAGAGAATTAAGTTTTATTTTGAGATTAGAATGGTAAATTAAGGTCTGTTCCACCTTGTTCCATGGGGTGGGGGTGGAACACAACTGTTTCACTCTGTTTCTGTCTGTTCCACATAAAACCTTGTTCTGTCCAGTGCCGTGTACCAAGCGCACCCTATGGGATTAGTCAAGGGGTGTCCATGGACATCCACGGTTACCATTGATTTGACAATTAATGATGATAATTAGTGTAGTGTAAATCAAGATAAGATGACACCTTTTCCGTTTGATCGATTAAGTGTTTTTGTTTTTGCCAGGAAGGGAATTATGGGAAGCTAAATAAGTGTATCACGTATCCTGACATGTTGGACATGATCCCATATATGACGGGAAAAGATGACATTCCTCCGTTATACTTGCTTTATGGTGTCGTCGTGCACTTAGACACGATGAATGCATCTTTTTCTGGTCATTATATATCGTACGTGAAAGATCTTCAAGGAAATTGGTCCAGGATAGATGATGCCCAGGTAATCAATTTTCTCATATTTGTAGCTTAATGAGCTTAATGGGACTCACAACTTATTCGTTCAGCTATACATGACTGTTTGGTAGTGGCTTAATGATATAGAAAGCGAGTTATTCAATAAGCTTTAGGGGGAAGCTTTATGCAGAAAGCCAAGTGTTTTCTGAACATATCCCTCCCAGTTATAAGACACGCTCCTTCCATCTATGAGAAAACGCTTCCAAACAAAAATCTTCTTAATCTATATAGATAGATTAATCCACACAAACAACTTTATCCATATGGAGTTTGATGGAAAACCATCCAAACAACCCCTACTCGACGTGCGCGTGAACGGGTGACTGTGAGATGGGCGGGTGAAAGAATTGTGAAAGGTTTTAGGGTTTTAATTTGACATGGGTAGTTTAGTAATTTATCAATCTTGTCCCATCTCCTTGATTTACGTTCCACCTATTTAGGCAGGACGAACAAAATGCATTTTTGTCTCACTCGGTCCGTCCTGTCCCAGTCCAATGTTGCGTTAAACGTGGGACCAAAAAACATTTGTTCCGTCTTTGTGCCATATTGTCCTTTGGACCAAACGAACCGCAGGATGCCAACTTTCATGTAAGATGATGATCTATGCAGGATGAATAAGCATACTAATACTAATGCAGAATGAATAAGCCTACTAACGCAGAATGAATAAGCATACTAACGCGGAATGAACAAGCATCCTAATCCTAACGCGAAATGAATAAGCATCCTAACGCGGAGTGAATAAGCATCCTAACGCGGAATGAATAAGCATCCTAATGCAGAATGAATAAGCAACTCTCTACCATTATTCATGTTCTTGAATTGCAGGTTTACCAAGTCCCCTTGAGCCAGGTGATGTCAGAAGGTGCATACATACTGTTTTACATGAGGTAATCAATCTAAATTTGCAATTTTCTTCTCTGTTATCACCATTTTCAAATTATCAATGTTTCTTGTAGATCATCCCCTCGACCGCCAAGAAGTTCCACCGGAAAACCCTCTAACCACCAAGCCTCCACCTTCACAAAGTCGAAACCACCAAAATCAACCTTGGATCGCCGCCAAGAACCAACCAGTTTCTACGGAAACAGGCACAACTACACAAAACCACCAAACCTTGATTTCTCGGATGCCACATCAAGCGATTGGTCGATATTATCAAACTCAGATGACGCATCTTTCACCACCGAGAGCACCCGTGACTCATTTAGCACCATTGATTACACTGACAATAACACCGATCCAGTTTCTTCGATCTTTAACACAACCCTTTACACTCCTCATGATTACCTTTCTCGTAATACAATCTCGTGTAGCAGGTTTTCGACAAGTACGGCCCACATGAGATTCATGAAGGACGAACAAACGTCGGTCTTGAAATCGTATAGATTACATAACACAGAAAAGGCTTATTGTTATCCAAATGAAGCTTTTGGTTCCAATAGCAGGAGTTTATACATAGATGGTATGTAAGTAGAAGTGGTTTAAATTTGTTTGAAAGATTTTGGAATATAGGGGTAGGAATTGGTGCCTCAAAATTTTCCAATTGTATTGTAAATGAGGCCCCTTGAATTTATATAGGTATTGTCTTTTGATTAACATTCTCGACCATCAAAATGGATTGCTGGTAAGTTGTTTTTATCTGGTAAATGATTATTGGATAAGAGTATTTTCCTTTTTCTATTGGGTAAGACTCTTGGTCCTTGATATACCTCTTACTGAGTAAGATTGTTGGTCTTTGTCAAACGAACTTATTAAAATCTATGTTGATGCATTTAAAAGTTTTAACATATCTATGAATCACAAAGTCTAGCCTAACTGAAACGGAACTAATGATATTAGAGGTTGTTTGTTTATCTCTTAATAGTTCCGTTAAGAGGCGGCATCTAAATCGTTAAGAGGTAAATCTTGTTTAGCAAAAAAATATGTCTTTTAATGATCATAAAACTCTCTGAATGATTTTGTATCATGGGACTTCCTTAACTATTCAACACCCTAATTTCATTCTGAATAATTACCAAACAATTATATTACTTAAGGGGTTGTTTGTTTACCTCTTAATAGTTCCATTAAGAGGCACCTCTTAATCGTTAAAAGTTGAATCTTGTTTGACCAAAAAAAAAAGTTTGTCTCTTAATAGTGTTTGTTGTTTTTATTACTTAGGGGAGTTTAATTCATAAAATGGAATCTATCGGAATTGAACTTTGTCAAAGAAATTGGAATATGATGGAATTTGAAAGAAATTTAGGCTATGTTTGGCAAATTAGCTGATAAGTCAGCTGATGAATAAATCATGTTTGGTAAAACTAGTTGATAAAAATGTAAAGTGATAAAAAATTACATCTTGAAAATTTAATCAGTTATAGTATTTCAAAATACAATTGAAACAAATCTCTAATAACATAATATATTAATTAATAGAAAACAAGATGGTAAAAAAAATTAAAAAAAATATATGATATATTTATTAAAAGAATTTCAAATTGATTATTATGTGAATTATAATATTTGGATTTGTTAAAACAAATTTTAGAAAAATCTATTATTTATAATTTTAAATAATCATTACATTTAATATGAATAGAAATAAAAATGATCTACCTCGTATATCCTAATTAATTAATAAATTTTGAAAAAATATATTTAATAATTAAATCAAATATTTATTCAGATTATTTAATATATTTGTATTATCTATGAAACATAATAAGTATAGATTTAACTTTTATATGATATGAACATTATTAAAATTGTTATATTTACATTTTGATAATTAAATATATTGAATAATAATTAAAAATAATAACATGAAAATAATTGATATGATTAATAATTATCATAATAATTATTAAATAATACTAAGGTATAATATATAATTAATAAATATTAATTAATATTTATTAATAATTAATATTAATAATGTTTAAATCTTATTGATATTTATTTATAATAAAAAATAATAAATTATAATTAATATTAACGAGAGTTATAATTGGGAAAAAAATGACAAATAAGCTACCTAAAGGCAACTTCAAGAAGCGTTTCAATAAGCTAGCTTATATGCATCCAAACATGTACCTATAAAATAATCTAGCCTATTTTTGTCAAACAATGTCTTAATCATGTTTGACAATGCGTTTGTTTGATATATTGGAATGAAATATGTAAAAAGAATTTTGAACCCGACTGTATGGTTCGCTGAATATAATAGTGGTGGTGGGGTGGAGGCGGTAGTGGTGTCGACAGCGGTGGTGGTGATGGCGGAAACTATGGTGGTGGTGACGATGACGATGGTGATGGGGGTAAACGCGAAAGTGGTCACTATGGTGGTTGCGACAACGATGATGATGATAGCAACGAGTAGGATGTAAACAAGTCGAGCTTTTAACGAGTTACTCGAACTCGAGTCGATCTCGAATTCAAAATAGAACTCATACAACTTAACGAGTCGAGTTTCATAATACCAATGTTCAACTCGAGCCGAACCATTCGAGCATATATGTTTTCGAGCCAAACATGTTCATAAATAATACAACAAAGAGTAATTACAAATTTAATCCCTATGGTTATATATAAATTACGGATTAGGTCCCTCAAACAAAATAATTACGAATATGGTCATTATGGTTTCAATTTCGTTATGGATTGGGTCCCTTGATCTAACTTTGTTAAAAGAACCTCTGTTAAATAGGGGCATCTTGGTCCTTTTACCAGTTAAATTAAAAATATTTTAAAAATTAAAACCAATGAACATCCATCTCCAGCATCGTATCTTTTCCCTGTTGAACATCTACCACCGGTGAATATCCATCTCCGGCTACCTTCCTCTTCTCCAGCAATGACCCTTTCCCTGCCCACCACCATTTCCAACCCTTTGAACATGCACAGATCTAAAACCAGAAAAACATATCTATAACCTGTTGTGGACTCCGATGAACCTATCAAAATCAAACTCCACCGGTACAACTAAAAATTATATCTACACACATGTTTGATTTAGGAGCGAAGCTAGTGTAAATCATCCAGATTCGTTTTACAAACATATTTTATTTATGTATACAAACAAGCTTTTATGTGTATAGAATTGAAAATCAAAGTGAATGGTGAAGGGAGTTTTATCATGTGTCTGACTGAACGTGTTCTGAACCAGATGGTACCAATGAAAACTCAAAAGAACCGATTCTGCTGTGGGTTATCAACCTACCCTTAGTACGAAATGGGTTCTCAATTTTCCCACTATCACCCAAAAAAACCAAACTCTGCCTTACGTTACAATCTTGAAGAGTTAAGGTATTAACAGTGTATAAATAAGCTTCGACATCGTGAATGAACCGTGTGGAAGATGAGCGGGAGGAGGAGAGGAGCAATCATTTATAGACCCTAAGATTATGAATCACCCGAATCGTTGCCTTGGGGACTGAATCGTCATCTCTGTAATCGTCTCCTTGGAGAGCCAGAGAAGCGTTGAAAAGGGAATGAGGGTGGAGCGTTGCTCCTTGGATAGAGCGTGTTTGGAAAGGAACGATGAGGGTGGAGAGAGAGAGAGAGAGAGAGAGAGAGAGAGAGAGTTGTTATCAATGTGTGCTTGATAGAGAAATGCATTAGATGTTGTTTTTAAGACTTTATGCATTAAAAGGTAGTACCAAATGCATTAGATGTTATTTTTAAAACTTTTGTTAAATCTGATTGATAAGGTAATATAAATACGACTATATATTATAAATTTTATATTGATAATATAGAAATTATTCTTAAAAGATATAGAAGTAATTATTATTATTTTTAAAGAAAAAAAATAAAAGACTAAAACACCCTTGGTTTAACGGAGTTAAGATTAACGACGTCAAGACAAGGGACCTAATCCATAACGAAAAACAGACCACAATAACTAAATCCAAAATTTTAATAACCATAGGGACGAAATTTGTAATTTACTCTACAATAAAAATATAAAAAGTATCAACCTCGAGCCAATAAATGAGTGAATCGATCGTGAGTACGAGCTCATAAACGATCATTGAACTCGAGCTCAATAACTCAAAAAATATTTTATTCAAGCTCGAATCCTACATTGAAAAGTTATTCAAGTTCGAGTCTGGTATAATTTTTTTGAGTTGAACTTGAATAACCTACTATTCGGCTCGATTACACCCCTAGTGGCGAGGACGGTGGTGAGAACCGTCATGGAATGAAATTGAGTAGTTTTCCATAAAATATGGGATGAAAGAATTAGAATTCTTTGTTGAAACCAAGAATTTTTTTTGATTAACCTGGATATCCAACCCGCTATTCAAGCCGACTAATCATAGGACGATCACATGCTTTGCAGATAGCCCATAGTCACCGCATTTGAACCTTCGTGGCCACAAGGGGATTTTTATTCCTCATTGGATTTGAACCTGAGACCTTTTTGGTACTTTTGATTTTTGGAGTCAAGCTCAAATCAATCAGGCACCACCCTTGTGGTTGAAACCAAGGAATTCGAATTCCTTAACTCAAAGATTAAACCAAACGAATGAATCATATTTGGTCATCTGGTTTTAAAAACTACCGGAAATAACTGAAATGGTTTTTTAACTTTAAAATGTGCGGGATAGTTGAAGTGGACACAAACTAATCCGAATACCAATTAAGGGGTGTTTGGAATTGCTTATTTGAAACAACTTATGTTTTTCTACAAAAACACTTATCAACTTACTATAAGTCACGAGGGTTTAACTTTTTCAAAAACTTCTTATTACATGTTTGGCATCGGTATAAATTGTTTATCCAAACACTCAAAAATACTTATTACCAGTGTCACACCAGAATTAATCAATAAATTATTTTTATAAACATTCTCAAACACTTCTTAAAATACGATTAAAATTGCTATTATGGTTTATTAATAAAATAATATACAATACGAAAGATGCCGAATGTTTTATTGAAATCAAAGGCGTATATATAGCCTGTTCATCAACAAAATTTCTGCTGTTCGTACCTATGCTTTATTCTCACTCTCTTTCCCCACCATTTCTTACATATCAAAAGTGAACCAGATCTCGTTTACCCTGTTATCGAACTCAAACGGAGAATTGTATTGCGCAACCGTGTACCCCGTCGTAATCTCACCGGAATGGCTCTTTTTAATAGCATCAGACCAAACGGTGCCGGAGAGACTGGTGGACAAGGCCGCAGCCTCCACGCCGATGTCTGAATCCTTCACAAATCCACCGAATTGCCGTACTGCTACATAAGTCGGTCGCCATTTTTGGATCGTAATCCCCTCAGCAGGTGGTGGATCGGCTTGGTTCTTCTTCGGAACATAAAAACTCACCAGAAATGAAGATTCGCAAAACGGTCCGTCACTCGGAGCAATCTCGGTAAGAACTGGAGCTGTCATTTCTATCTGTTGATTGTAGTTGTTTTGCCCTTGGATGTACTTGAATAACCTAAGATGAACAATCGAATCATGAGTTAAAACTATTGAACAGCTTTTGACCTAGAAATCAGATTCGTAAACGATTTGAAGTTAGGTTTCGAATTTTCAGAATCAGACACTTGATTTCTGAGATGAATTGATTGATAAAGTGAGTAAAATCGTAATCATACTGTAGGAAACCGATGCGAGTGCCATCCACGAAGGAGATATCATCGATGGGAGAAGTAGTCGCCCACACACTAGAGTTATAAACACGAATTTCGTAGCCATCGCCGGAGTGAATGACGTCATACGTTGGACACTCGATACGGTTGCACTGCGGTGGAAATTCACCGACTGCGACGGTTTGTTTCTGCGACAAAAGTCCCGGCCATGACCCTAACTTGACGTCGGAGAGTAGGCTCAGTAGCACCGATAGCTTAAACAGATTGAAAACCGCCATTTTCGGTTTGAAGTTTTAATGAAGAAGAGGCGGAGAGGAGTATTAATGGTATCACAACAAAGGAGAATGACCACACATTGAAGATTGATCGATGGCGTTCTGTGTGTAGTTTGGATTTCAGGGGGTGCCATTGCTACACGTCGATAGTTTTTTGTATTTCCTTTATCTTTTGGGCCATTATTTAGTACAATAATTAGTTTGGGCCTTGGTCCGGTTCAGATATCATAAAAAAGCTCAAGCCCAATGCTCGGTTTTAGCTTGCCTGGTTAGAGTCGGTTTTGAAAGAACCCGGGTTTGGGACCGGTCTTTTAAGCCTGATCAGACTAAAAATTTCAGGGCAGGTCTGGACTAGGCCTGGGCTTAGGCTCCGTTTAGAAAATCTCGGTTAAGCACGAAAAAGACTGGCATGTAAAATCTTGATTGGTTGGCTTGGACCTATAAGATAAGAACCTTTTTGACTCGCTGAAAATAGTTTGAATTTTAGCTCTTTTAAAGTGGTATTTTATTGATGGCTCGGACCTCCCCAGAAATATTTGGATGTCAATCTCATCGATATTTTCGATCTTTTAAGTATCATACCAAATCCCATCAATCGAATCATTTTTTTTAAGAAATACGAGTGAAAACAGACTTGGAAAACTTGGAACGGGCTAAGAAAATGCGTGCGCCTTTTGCATCTCTAATCTGACTCAAGTTTGTCTTTGCTTTTTTTTTCCTTTCTAATTTACTAATGCATCTTTGTAACTATTTTCGTGGCTTCCTTTTTGTTACAAAATTTATAGATATAACTCTTATAAATTTACAGACTAGTTTTTTTTATGATGTATCATATATGAGACAACACGTGTGAAAATATATGTTTATACAATGTTTGTTTTATACTTGAATCCTTCCAGACACAAAACAACATTTAACTTTTGAAACAACAGTATATGAAAACTGTATTTTTATATGTGTTGTTTCACAACTTATTAAAATTGATTTATAAGTCTGTACTATTTATTGAGTTTGTAAATAGCTACACATTAATATTTTTAAGTGTAATGACCAGATAAGTTTATCATGTATTGCAACATAACAAAATAAATAACATTGATTAATTTTAATATATTTAAGCTTATATTTCAATAAAAGATACTGAGTAATATACTTTACATTTTAATTATTTATAATTATATTATTTTGCTTCAATTTTAATTAGATGAAGGGGTGTTGATGTAATATAGATGAAGGGGTGTTGATGTAATATAGAGAGTATATAATGCAACGGTGGGATGAAACGCAGCCATGGGGTTATGTCGGCGGTCATGCATTTGAAGACGCCTCTCCCAGGTCATAACACATTCTTAGCAACTTCCATTCTTTCCCTACCGGATTCTGCACTATTTGTTCTTTGTTCTATAGTCGTTTGTTCAATCCTTTGAATATATACGATCAATGCTTAAACCTAAATCATTTTCATCTTCACAAGAAGCTCCAAATAGATGTAGATTTGTGTACTGTAATGTGGAATCACTTCTCAATGTGAGTAGAAATCAATGTGATTTGAAGCAAAAATGAATGGTAACCTTATTCTATTTGTTATTTTGTATTGCTTGTTAGAAACTTTTTTCTCTTCTTAGTATGAGTATTCGTGTAAGATTTTGATTTCAAATAGTAACCCTAATTAAGTGCCAATGGAAGTGTGGGTTCCCCTTTGAACAAAAGGGGGTATATGTTACAAGATGACCATGAGGATGACATATATGTTCTTTGATTCTGTGCCTAATGATTATTACTGTCCAGCTTTATGATGCAGCCTGCAGGTGGTTTTAAATCATATGGCCTGATTTGATGATACTTCCTTACTCATCTGAGTCTTCTAATTTGTCATATTATTTCAGGTTGAATTACTCTGTTTTTTGTATATTAAAATGGGCTATTTTGATATAAGAAATTCATGTTGTTTTTGCAATTTGTTCAAAACCATATTTTTTTACAAATTATAGTGTTTTTTTGGGCATGTTTACAAATAACTATGAGAAGACACATGTTCAAAAAGTATAGAGCTCCTTTATTTTCGAAGTTCAATTAGGATTACAGTACTAGATCTTGAATCACCATAATAATACACTTGAAGCACAGAACTGACTTTGGGAAGTGATAGGACTTGTTTGTAATGGGATTCAGTTGGATTTTAATGTGCATGTGATTAAGAGGTTAAAATCAAGAAGAAAATAAATCAAGGATATGAGACAGAATGGGAAATGATGAAATATAGCAGGTACTTACGAGGTATCATAACTTTGATGTTCTCCTGGTGCAGCCATCAGGGTTGTGCTGAGCTTCTGAGGTTATATGCCAAGTGATTATAAATCAATTGCTTGCTRATTCCTTCTGTCACAGTGTCACTGTATCGTAAGTCTTTACCATTCGTCAAAAAGATCAATACCAAATTCTGTGATGTTGAAATCAGAAGTCTTTAATCTTCCTGTATAAATTTTTTTACTACGTTATAACATAGTTGTTAAAAGCGGGCCTCAGGTGCGCCTAGGCTCTGAGGCTCAAGGTCTTAGGATTTTTTAAAGTTGAGGCTTGGCATATTCATGAGGCTCACTAAGGTGCTGCGCCTTGGCCGAGGCACCTTGTGGGTTTAGGCGTGCCTAAATGTGCCTTGAGCCTTTAACAACTTTGCGTTATAATTTAATATAATCGTTAGTTCTCATTACCTCATTTCTATAGATTGGTCATAATRGCATGCCGCTTCTTGCTCTTTCGAGCCTGTCATCTCTTTGGATGGCAGCTCTTTGAGGCTTCTGATGGGCTATGGGGAGGGGCTTTTGAGGATTTTTTGTTGCTGGGATTATTAACCTGYTTCCTTTGGGCCCAATTAATCCATTTGGCTATCATATTCTTTTTAGGATATGTGAACACATTTGATTCTCTCTTTAAAAAAACCTTATAGAGAGAGATTAAGTTCCTATATATATATATATTCTGTGATGGTGCCTCCAGGAACCGAGGCGAAAGAGTGTGTTGAGTCCTTAGGTGGTGCTAGATTACGTCTCTGATACCATGTTAGTATACATGAAACCCTTTCGATTTTCTCTCCAATGGAGGGAGGGGAGGTTCCTACGTATATACAAATCGTGTCGGCCTATGTGGGACTCCAACAATCCTAACATCAAGTAGAAAAATTGTCAATGATTGAATTAGAATTATGTGCCAGTTAGCTTCCACAGGTAGAGCCTTTCATTGGCATTTACATTGCAGCCTCGTGTTTAAAATAATAGCAGTATATAAAAAATTTATTCTTGTAAACATCCATAAAATGTGGCACAGTTGAAAATTTCTTCCAATTAAACTTCCCTGAAATGTGGGGCTGTTGACTATAATCAATTGCTTAAATCAAATAAAATTTCCTAGCATTTCTTCTTCATTTGCATTGCTTTGACAGAGAACATAAATGAATTATATTCATTTTATATGATGAAATATTTTTTTGAAAGGTGTCCCAGGCTATGCCTGGACTAATCCCAACAAATTGTGACGGCAAGAAATTAGCCCTGATAAACTCGGTGGCCACAATTGCTGTGTACGCCTGAAATCGAACCTGGCAGATGGGATATTCCACCACATCCCCCAGGACCTCAATCATTACACCACGACCCTTCTCGGATAATGGAATATGATGAAGTATATTGGCTTCAAATTAGTATATATACCACAAATCAACTCAGAAAAACTACCTTGAGATAAACTATGTTTGTAGCCTTACCTCCAAGCAACCTAATGCTATAAAAAGGATAACTAGGCAACATTTGATTCTCATGTACACAGAGAAAGATGAAAGCATATGCTATTGCTCTCATAGTCTGTGGTTGTGTTGCTGCAGCAGTGATTTTCTTGTTTTATCTCTGCAACAGTTGGAGGAAAAAGAAAACTAAAGTCCCAACCACCACAAGACCGCCAATCACCCGCCCACAACCACAAGTGAATCATGACCTTGAATTAGGTAGAATGAGCAAAAACAGTACTTCCACAGAAAAAGATGGAGGAATGGTTATTCTAGCAGCAGCTGGAGCTTCTGTAGCTACAGCTGCTGTGGTCATTAGTACTAGTGATGGCGATGCTGGTGGTGGAGATGGTGGAGGTGGCGGATGCGGTGGTGGTGGATGTGGCGGTGGCTGTGGAGGGGGTTGTGGAGGTTGATCGATCAAGGTTTAATCTCTCCTTTCAGAAAGAACCTACTCCTAATTTGGTGAAAGTACCCTTGAAGCTTATAATATGTAAGAAATTTTCAAAAGTGCAGTGTCTTACCTTCTCTCCTAATGCCAGCAGAAGGAACTCCAATCAGCCACCATTTTGGCTCTCAATCATAATGATAGTCATCTCCCTGTATATTAAGGTGCAGAATGGTTATGGACTTGTGTGAAATGTGTTTTTTCTTTGTACTTGTAAATAAAACAATGATGAAATAAAAACAAGGTGATTAAAAGAAACATGAAATGTACTTTCGAAAACTTATTCCTGATTTTATGCTTGATGAAAGTTTATTGGCAATTTGGCATTTTTGATTGCATGATTTAGAGAAGTGTTAAAAAATTGTTTAGATCAAAAACCATGATCTCATGCAGCAGTCGCTGATCAGTAGTATGTATCTTAGGTTCAGCCAAGGCAGAAAGCAGCAAATTGTCGTTTCCCCCCTTGATCAAAGGGGATATTAGTTAAAAGATGACCATGAGGATGGAACATTCCCTGATAATGTGCCTGATAATTATTACTGTCCAGTGTTCGGCTGCAGGTAGCTCTTTATCATATGGCCAGATTTGATTATATTTCCTTGCTTTAGCTTATCTGAATCTTCTAATTTGTTCATCTTATTTCAGGTTGAATTACATGGTTTTCTGTTTCAAAAAACCCTATTTATTGCCAAAATGCAAAAAGAACAAAAAGAACTTGTCAAAATGAGCTATTTTGGACAAAATACAATGGCTGTTCTTGTTGCTTTTGCAGTTTGTTCAAAACCTTTTTGGCTTTTTTCCCTATAACTATGGTTAGTTTGCAAGGAGGAGACAGATGCCCCAAAAGTCTAGAGCTCCTATATATTCAAAGTTTAATTCCTATTTACTAAATCTTAAACAGTCATAATACTACATTGAAGCAACAAAACTGATTTTAGGGAAGTTATAGGACTAAACCACTTGTTTGTAGTCAGAATCAGTTGAATTTTAATTTGCATGATGTGCTTAGAAGGTTAAACTCAAGAAGAAACAAAAACGAGGGAAATGGCCAAAATCCGACAGAATGGGAGATGATGAAATATAGCAGGTACTTATGAGGTATCATAGCTTAGATGTTCTCCTGGTGCAGCCATCGTGGCTGTGCCGAGCTTCTGAGGTTATATGCCAAATGATTATATATCAATTGCTTGCTGATTCCTTCTGTCACTGTATCATAAGCCTTCAAAAAGATCAATATCATATCCCTTGATGTTAAAATCAAAAGTTTTTTGTCTTGCTGTTCAAGATTTCTGTACTACGTTTATATAAATCATTAGCTTTTTTTAATATATGATCACAATAAGTCTTCTTGATTTTTACAGGAAAAAAGAACTCATTCCAGGGTAATAATATTATGGAGATCGCAAGTTCAGATTGATGAGACAAAGGAAAGGCCCACAACCCATTGTAATCCAAGGTAATGGTATAGCTTCAGCCTTATTTTGGCATTAATATTGCAACCCCATGTCTAATATAATAGCAGTCGATAAAAAAATTCTTCTAATTAAACTTCGCCGAAATGTGGGGTAGTTGACTATGATCACTTGCTTTAGAATTAACTTTTCCTTCGCATTTCTCCTTCATTTCCATTGATTTGAACGAGTCTTCCTCGATAAATAAATCCATTCAATGTATATGATGTTTCTTGGTTTTTATGCACGTTTGCATACCGGAAAAAATGCTTACAAATTACTTGTATGCACATGTGCATACCGTCCCGATGAATGGTTACCAGGGTGCTTCTCATTTTTTTTTTTCATTTCTTTGCAATTTTCCTCTGAATCTGACCCTATATATATATAGGCGAAAGATCGTGTGAGAAGGAGAGTTAAAGTGAAGAGCGTAAGAAGGGATTTGGACCCTTGATCACCTTTAATCTCATACTCACCCATGATTCGCATTTGATACGGGGATTGATATGGTGAATCTCATCTCAATGTGCATCAAAAGGTGGAGATCCCTTCTTAGGCTTCTCACGAAAACCCAACCCTATATGTATATATATATATATATATATATATATATATATATAAAAAGTCAACTGAGAAAAGATAAACTTATGATGCTGGAAAGGTCTTCCATAAGCTAAGCTATGTTTGTAGCCCAAGCAACCTAATGCTATAAATAGGATAACAAGGCAACATTTGATTCATGAAAGCATATGCTCATAGTCTAGTGATGGTGTTGTGTTATCTCTGCGGAAGTGGTAGGAAAAAGAAAGCTAAAGTCCCAACCACCACAACACCGCCAACCACCCGTCCACAACTCCAAACGAATCATGACCTTGAAATAGGTAGAAGGACCAAAAGTAGTATTTCCATGGAAAAGGATGGAGGAATGGTTACTCTAGCAGCAGCTGGAGCTTCTGTAGCTACAGCTGCTGTGATCATTAGTGCTAATGATGGCGGTGGTGGATGTGGTGGAGGAGGAGGTGGTGGATGTGGTGGAGGAGGAGGTGGTGGATGTGGTGGTGGTGGTTGTGGAGGTTGATTAATGTTAGATGTCTGCATCCAGAAAGAACCTAAAGTACCCTTGAGGCTTAAAAATGTTAAAAGAGTGTCAAAAGTTTCATTGTCATTAAGGAACTCCAATCAGCCACCATTTTGTCTTTCAATTCTTATGATAGTCAGCCATCTCCCTGTGTGTATATATAAAGATGCAAGTTGGTTATGAACTTGTTTGAAAAATGTGTTTTTGTTTTTTATTCTTGTATAACATTCCAGTATTTTATATGCAACTATAACTATGATGAAATAAAAGAAGCAAGAAATGCACTTGTAGTTTTAGGATTTGTATCTCTTCAGTTTTGATCTAGTGGTTCTTTTCGATTAGGATTGATCCAAGGGTAAAGATCTCTTATTACTCTTCTAACCATAACTTTCATTCTCATCGGAACCCAATCCTGTCTACACATGTATCAGAAGTCGATTGAAAACTTTCCTTTTTGAGCTTTTAGATTAATGTAAACCGTTAAATTTGCATTGTTTCTTTCACATAAAATGTTAGATTAACGTGTCCACACCGCAATCAGGGGCGGACCCACTATGGTGCATATGCACTTCGTTTCTTCATCATAGCGTAAAATATGTTAGGGGTCATAAAAGGTGTCACTGTATATTTCTTGAAACTACAACAATGACATAAGTTTCTCTTTGCATAGTTGGTTTGCACGGTCTTTTCTCCCCTTTCAGGTGCTGGTTCGAATCTCATTTGTATCATTTTCTTAGTTCTTACCTTTTAATTTTAGGTCTGAATTTTTTGGGGATAAAAGACTTTGGATATAGAATCTCATATACGAGAAAGAAGGAACTAACCAATATACCAACAATGATTTTGTGCAAACAAATTCGTTTCTTATAGTCAAACTGACAACAATATGAATAATAATAGCATGATTGGGTTCAAGTAATCCCATTGCTTACAGTTTCTTGTTCTCTTTCCAGCTTGGCTTTTGACAATTGTGGGTTTAGTTTAGACTTGCACACAAAACCCAAATTAAATACTCATCACTTGGCCATGTAATTTATATTATTGAATTGTAGTTTATGCAATTTGATGTTTAAGAAAATGATTTATTTGTCTTAGTTGGTTGGTATTTCATTATATAATTTGTATCTAATATTTCAAAATTGTTAAAAATATAATCAAAATATAAAAAGATAATTTAATTATTTTTATAATTTGTTTTTATAACTAGTGGACTTTCGATTTCATTCAAATTATACAAACCAAACGTACCGAAGATTCAAAATACCTCTAATTCCAAATCTGTCGATGAAAACCAAATCTCTCGAAACAATTCAGTCAAACCAAATTCCCTCTCCAAGTCTCGTTTAGTTTGTAGGATTGGATAGAACTTGAAGGGATTTGGAATTAACGTTTGGTTTGAGGAATTTCATGGAGATTTAGCAATCCCATGGGTATTTGGTATATGTTAAAAGGGATTTGTTTGTAATAATGTCTTAAAATATGTTAAAAACACTTTTATAATAACTAGAAGAGTACACGCGTAATGCAGCCGAACACATCTCGGTTTTAATGTTCTATTTTATTATTTGTCTATGTCGATGTTATAAAAGGATTTTATGTGTTTTTAAGAAAGTATTAATGATTTTTTTTTGAATAAAATATAATAATGAAGATATCATAAAATTTTGAAAAAAATATATATATCAATTTTAATATCAAATTAGCTATTTAAAAGTTCTCATTTTTATACCATTTCTTTAATTTTTTTATTATAATTTTTTTTAATTTGAATAATGAAATAATTTATTTTTTGGTTTAATAATATAAACATTTTAATAGATAATAATTAAGTATTATGTTAGAACTTAATGATTATTCTAATAATATTTTAGATTTTTTATATTTAAAATGATATGTTTATCCTGTATTTGATTATGTTTATCTGCAGTTAGTTACACGAATTTAAATATGAAATTTTAATAAGTTGTACTTACAATCTACTTGCAATTTTGAGTTTTAAGTAATATACATTAATAAACAGTATTTTACGCATAAAAAGTGGTTTTTAAGAGTTTTTGTCAAATGCTTTATAATATAGTATAGATAAATTAATAAAAAAAGATAAATTTAATTACTTTTATAAATAATTTATAAAGAACATAATTCAATTCCATTCTAAATCCTATAAACAAAAAATAGACCAAATGTTTCAAATCCTTTGAATCCAAGTCCCTTCGATTTTAAATTCTTTCACGAAATCCAACCAAAAACGTTCTCATAAAAATAGTCGATCCCTTTGACCAAATTCATTTTTTAGTCGTTTTTGGAGCTAAATTCTCATTTTAGTCAGAGTTTATATGAACACCTTACGTATCTACGAAAAGGTCAAATTGGATCTTTACACAAATTTGAGTAAAGAATTTCGAGTTTATGAAATTGGGTAAAGTCGGAGAGCAAATTTTAGTCGGATTTGTTTGTAATAATGTTGTATTTCTTCTATGAATTGGAGTTGATTAATACACTTCTTTCATTTCATCCACAAGTCTCCCAAGTGTGGTTTTAATCTCGTTCGAGTTCATATGAGACCGATCCCCCGATAAAAACAACCGAACCTCGTCCTTCACCGCGATCCAACTACACCCGGGACTTTTCTTGATTCTGTTCACTCTCTTCGCCGTTCTCACTACTTCCTCGTCTTCTTTCCCCCCCAAAACCAAGTATAAGTCCGACAACACCACATAAGGCGTAGCGTTATCGGGCTCCAATTCCGAGATACGTCGAGCGGCAATTTCCGCAAGTTCCAAACGAAAATGACTCCTGCTTGCACCAAGAAGTGCACCCCAAACTCCAGAATGCGGTTCAAATGGCATTGAATTGATCAAATCAAAAGCTTCGTCAAGAAAACCAGCACGACCCAGGAGATCAACCATGCACGCGTAGTGGTCTGGATTTGGTTCGATCTTGTATAACGATCTCATCGATCTAAAGTAGCTACGACCTTCCTCCACCAACCCGACATGGGTGCAGGCAGAAAGAACGCTAAGAAACGTGATGTCGTTTGGCTCCACACCATTTTCCTCCATTTCTGTAAATAACGCAAGCGCTTCCTTCCCGTATCCGTTTTGTGCGAATCCGTTGATCATGGAGTTATAAGAAACGGAATTGGGAGTCTTAATGGAATGGAATATGTTGTAGGCATCATCCACGGATCCACATTTTGCATACAATGAAACCAGTGAGTTCTGAACGGATAAGTCGAATTCCATACCCGTTTTGAGTACGTGGGTATGAATTTGTAGGCCTTGATTCAATGTCGCTAAAGAAGCTGAAGAACTAAGAACGCTGCTGAACGTAAGTGGATTTGGCTTGACCGATGTCTGAAGCATCTGAATAAACCAACGGATAGATTCTTCGAATTCTCCGTTACTAACAAACCCCGAGATTAAAGCAGTCCATGAAACATCATCTTTCTGTGGCATCATGTTGAACAACTCCACAGACTTTTCGGTTAACCCTTTGCTACTGAATCCAGTAATCATCGTTGTCCAAGAATACACATCCTTTTGCGGCATCGTTCTGAAAAGTTTATAAGCCTCTTCGACATCTTCGGTTTGAATGTAACCCCCGATCAGAGAGTTCCACGTAACCACATCTTTTGTCTCCATTACGTTAAACAAGTTCCGAGCTGCATCTAAATCAGCCAATCTACAATACATGGTGATCACAGAATTTCCCAAGAAAGTATCGAAGTCGAATCCCATAATCATAGCCAAAGCATGGACTTGAATCCCTTCTCGACATCTATTCGATCTTCCACAACCATCAAAGATTACAGTCAATGTGTTTGAAACAAGTTTTATCCCGTTTTCACGTCTCATTTGCAGAAATAACACAAACCCATCTTCGAAAAACATCGTCTTCATATAACCATCAAGCATTGCAGTCCAAGTAACTACATTTTTATCAGGAATTCCATCGAACAACTCTCGTGCTTTCCCAATGAACCCTAATTTGCAGTACCCATCAACCATTGAGGTCCAAGAAACCACATTCTTCTCCACCATTCCCTCGTAAACCCGAACAGCCTCTTCCAGTTTACCCTTCTTCAAATACCCATTCATCAAGGCATTCGAACAGAAAGGATCCCGCCATTCCATTGGCATACTACAGTACAACTTCTCTGCATCATTCATCCTTCCTGCACGGACATAACCCGTGATCATTGAAGCATAAGAAACCGCATTTTTCTCGGGTGACATTAAAAACAATTGACATGCCGTATCAATCCCATTCTTGTTACGCATATAACCCGTGATCATCGCATTCCAAGAAGCAACATTTCGTTCAGGCATTTCATCAAATACCTTACGCGCTTCCTTAATCTGTCCATTTTGTGCATATGCAGTGAGCATAGCAGTCCAGGATACGACATTCTTGATCGGCATGCTATTAAATATGAGTTCTGATTCCTTAACATTACCAATTCGACCATTTTCACTGATCTTGGAGTTGCAATAGATGATCGATTTGCTTGATCTGTAAGTGGGTCTTACGGAAATTGACGACAATGAAGTTGAGTAACTAAATTTAACAACATTACAAGACATCAAACTGTAAATATGGATGCAACTTCGTCTTGCTAACATGGCGGATAGCAATCCATCATAAAGAAAGAGGGATTCAGATTTCAAATGTGCGTTACCGCCATATCCTCTGCAACTCGTTTATATAACGACGCCTTATTCTGTTGGTAAGATTCATTTTACACCTTTATCTTTTGAAATTAGCAAAAAATACCCCCTGATGTTTTTGGTTTGGAGTATTTATATAAAGATCTCCTTGTGGCCACGGAGGTTCAAATGCGGTTACTCTGGACTATCTGCAAAGCAGGTGGTCGCCTTGGGATTAGTCGGCTCGCATAGCAGGATGGATATCCAGGTTAATAAAAAAAAGCATGTACCCAACATCTCGTTCATATATTTTTATCGAACACGTTTTTAGCTTTACTGCTTTACCCATTTTATGTATATGCAATACAAAACATTTGTTGACTCCACATAATTCGTGGTTGCCCAAAGGATTAGTCGGTGCGCATAAGCTGGCCTCCAGTTACAAAAAAAAAAAAAAAAAATACAAAACAGTTGTTCCACACAAACTGAACAAAGTTTTCCTTTTCCATTCACACATACCACAGACAGTTCGAGTCTCTTTCCATATGAACTAAACAAAGCTTTCCTTTTCCATTCACACATGTCACAAAACAGTTTGATTTTCTTCAGGGTTTAGAGATTTTTCTAGATATTATCTTCAATACTGAATAGAATTATCTGATAAACACATAAACTGATCCAGACACCTATACTTATTTAAAAGAAAAAAAAGTATTGTCGACATGATTAAAATCAGAGTCCTGTAACAAGAGAAAACGACACGAAAACATCGAATAAAACCGGGAAAAAGAGCTAAGTAGATAACAAACAAGACTAAGTTAAGGACCAAAAGTGCAAAGATTTGGAAGAAGGCTTTTAAGAAAGTGAAAAATACATGTGATATTGACCATTTGGCATTCCAACCTTTTGCATTACTTAGCCTTGGAGTTTTCATGCTTTTTTATTTATTTATTTATTTAATTATTTAATTATTTATTTTATTTAAATATAAAGAAAGAGACAAATAATTGTGGATTCACTTGCAATTATTTTATTCACATTTGGCTTTTTTTTCCCTTAAAGCAAACACCTAAAAAACCCTTCATGTTCCAATGCTTTTCACTTAGTCCTTACCTAATTTCACTATCTTTATAATCTTATCATATATATATATATATATATATATATATAATATATAAACCCTTTAATTACAATATTGATACTGATATACGTGAGTATGAAATTAGTATGAAAGTAGTAAGAGGAATAAAAATCTCCTTGTAACCATCCGGGTTATCCGCAAAGCAGGTGGTCGTCATGAGATTAATCGGCTCATATAACGGGTTGGATATCCAGGTTAATAAAAAATGGTTTAATTAACCATGCTCAGTTATAAGTTATACATCATGCATGGAAACTTATACAGTAGTTTGAAAAATACAGACACCCAAGAAACCTTTGTATTACTGCATAATTCTTCTCAAAACAGGAGCAATGGGCTGAATAACCCTTTCTTCTTCTGCTTCTTTTTTTCTGCATAATTCTTCTCACAAAAGCAAAGCAAACCCATCTGAACATGGAAAGCAAAAGCTAAAAAAGATCACACCACTAATTAATCAAAAAAGCAACCCATCATCTTTCTCATAAAGTGCAGTAGATATCACATTAACAAATCATGTATATACTTCACACAAGATCCCCCTTCATATCCTACTCTTTTTCTCCCACATTTTGTACTGTGTTTCTTGCGCAACAATGGCGGAAATTGTGGTTGCAGAGCCCAGTATTGCGAGTACCAGCAGCAACACTGGTGGTGGATATGGTTCCAACAGTGGGACGAAACCCTTTTATATTCGATCGATTACGTCTGGGAACGATGAGTATGTTCCTGAGCCATTTGATTCTGAGAAGTTGCCAGTCACTTTGAAATCAGAAATCCAGAGGTTTCTTCGTGTTGCTAATTTGATTGATGCCCAAGAGCCTCGTGTTGCTTGTTTGTGTAAGCCATTTTTTTTACTTCTCTATATGTGCACCCAAGATTCTGATTCTTTTAGTTGTTTTCAAATAAGTTGAATCTTTTGTTAGCAGCTTAACGTGACTCGCAGCTTATTTCGTCATTTACATAACTGTTTAGTAGTGCCTTAATGATATAGAAAGTGGGGTAAGCTTCACGTAGAAAAAGCCAAGTTTTTTCCGAGCCTCTATCCCTCCCGATTAAAATCGCTCCAAAACAAAAACCTTCTCAACTTATTCAGACAGATTAATTCAAACAGACAGCTTGCACTTAATGGAAAACCAACCAAACAGCCCCTTTCGTTTATGGTTTCAAATATTCAAAAAGAAAGTTTGAATGAATGTGATTCTTGTATGCTTTCTTGATCTTATTTGGATGAAATGAACTTGCTTTGTGTTTTCTTTTTGTGGGTATTTGGCAAATTGTAGTCCAATGCTAGTTTCTTGAATTTCTTGATTCCCATAACGAAGAAAGGACGAAGTCCCACCACCAAAGTTGTGAATCTTGTTGCGGTTCTATAACGTCTACAAGAGGCTTGAAGTTATTCACATGTGAATGGAATTACTTTCACTGATTGGTTTTCTGGGCGCAGGCCGTTTTCATGCTTTCGTAGTTGCGCATGATTTGGATCGTAATTCAAATGGGCGTGGAGTTCGGCAGTTCAAGACTGCTCTTCTTCAGCGACTCGAACAGGTGAATGGCTGATCTCAGAGTTTCAATTCACATAAAGATTCATTAGTTCTAATGCTTTCTACCCCTATAATTACTAACCATCTTTTGGTGGCCGAGATCGATAGGATGAAGAGGTTACTTACCGAAAACGGAAGGAAAAGAGCGACGTACGCGAAGTCAGGCGTGTTTATCGTGAATACAAAGATTACATAATCAAACATGGTGGAGAAAGTACTTTGGAGAACAGGTAGTTGCTACTTCCACTTATGTTGTTCTGCTTTTGGCTTAATTCTTCAAGTTTCTCGCGAGAATGTAGGACCCAATCATATTACTCCAAAAGAGCCGTTCATCAGAGAAGGAAAGTTCCAACATATATACAAGAGAAATGGTCAAAAGATAAACAACGTGGGACTCTAACAACCCCCCTCCAACAGGGGCTTAGATGTGCACAGATTGTTGAGTCCCTAGAGTGGTAGACTTTGGCTCTGATACCATGTGAGAATATGTGGAAGCCAAACCACAAGTGTTGTAGCGTAGTGGTTGAGGTCTGAGAGATGTGTGGAACTTCCCATCTGCCTATTTGATTCCAGTTATCAGAGTTGAGTCACGGTTTGCTGGGGCCCGGGACACCCTTCCAAAAAAAATATGTGGAACCTATTAGATTAAATACACTCCAAAAGAGCCCTTGAGCATAGAAAACAGGTTCTGAAACACATATACAGGAGAAATGGTCCAAGTCGGGCTGATGTGGGACTCTTATAACTAAATTGCAGGGATGTGCTGACTAAAGCTCGTGTGATTGCTCCGGTATTACATGAAGTGTCGAATACACTTACGAAGGCTGCCGGCACTCAGGTTCTTATGTTATATGTTTTCATTATCCCGTAACAAGATGATTTCGTTTTACGTTCATTCATGACTTCAATTATCTTGCATCTCCTTGCTAGGCCCATGCTGATAACGACTTTAAAGGAAGATCCGAGTTCTATGATTATAACATTCTTCCCCTTGATCACGGAGGTGTTCATCAAGCAATCATGCAACTCCCTGAGGTCCGGTGATAATAGATTATCTATCAACGTTTTTGTGAGAATATGTGGAACCACATTAGATTACTCTCCAAAAGAGCCATTGAGGAGAGGAGGGAGGTTCCAACATATATGGAGGACAAAGTGGTCAAAGTCTACCTGATGCAAGACTCTAACACGCCCTTCCAATGGAAGCTAGACGGGCAAATATTGTCCTCGAGTATCGAGAGGGGGCTAGACGGGTACAGGATGATCCAAAGTGTTGTGTCTCTAGGATGATAGACCTTGCTCTGATACCATGTGAAAATATGTGAAACCCTATTAGATTTGGTGCTAGACCCCGGTTCTATTGGGGTTTTACATAATTTCACATTGCATCAACCATCAGGGTCTAGCACCACTTAGGGACTCGACACACTCTTTCACCTCCGTCTAACTTTCATCTGAAAGGGCATGTCATAGTCCCACATCAGCTAAACACCGACCATCAAAACCTGTCTATATGGAGACTAAATTTGATGCGGTTCCACATAATTTCACAGTATTTTTGTAACCCTCTAACGAAACACTACAGATTAAAGCTGCAGTCGGCGCTGTTCGTAATGTTATCGGTATACCTTTCGTCGAAGAGTTCAGCAATCACGAGCCTCATTTTGATTTGTTTGACTGGCTCCAACATTGTTTCGGATTTCAGGTAGAATACCTTCTAGTTTCCAACGTCTTTTTAGCAATTCATCGCTTTCTATATACGATAATAAAACCATTTTCTACTTTCAGAAAGGAAACGTTGCGAACCAAAGGGAGCATTTGATTCTACTTCTTGCAAACATTCATATTCGTCGCTGCAATAAACCAGCAAACACATTGAAGGTATCCCAACAGTTGGGTCAGGTTCAAGGGAAAACCGCCAAAAAAATGAAAAACTGAAGAACAACCTGGTAACCGTTTACCTGGATGGTATGCACATGTTCATACAAGTAACTTGTGCGGTGTGCACATATGCATAAAAACCAAAAAACAGCTTCTATTACTTGTATGCACATGTGCATACCGTCCATAGATGAATGTTATCACGGTGTTCCTCAGTTTTTCATTTTTTTGGGGGTTTTCCCTTAAACCTCCATGTAATATGTCGATTATGTTTATTTTACAGAATGCAATATTCGTTAAACTTTCTAGATCACAGTTAGCAGATGGTGTTTTAGATGAGCTGATGAAGAAATTCTTCAAGAACTATACAGAATGGTGCAAATTCTTAGAGAAGAAGAACAGCATAAGGTCAGGGAGAGTCTAGTAATTACTACACAAATTCATCCCATCGTCCGTGTTAGCTCTTAATCTATACTATCTTATAAAGCAAATTTAGCAAAAGTMTTAAAGTCTTAAAATTCTAAATGACCAAAATACCCTTTATACTCACTTTTTCACTTTTTTACCACCTCCTCTCCTCACATACACTCACACTCTCATAACCGATTTTTTTAAAATTATAATTTTAAATTTACATTTTATACCTCTATAATTAATTAATTAATTTACTTTACTTTACTTTTAAATGTTTCATTTTAAACATTTATCAAATTAACATACATAATCGTATATCAATTAAAACATATTTAAAAAATACATTTTTATTTTAACAAGTTACACCATTATAATCGTCTCGTTAATACCTTCGAAATGAGTCCAATATTGAATATTTTTTGACTTAATTATATTATTATATATTATATATACTGTGACAAAATATTTTTAATATTTACAATTTATACTTTTATAGTTATTTATTTATATATATACTATATATTTTGGGATTAGGCTGTCCAAATTGTATAATATGTTTTGAATTAATATGTTCTTGGGTTTTTTGAAATATATATATACATGTATTAATTCAACTTTAATCTGAGTTTCTGGACAAGAAAGAGGGTAAGCAGTTGAAATTTCATTCTAAACCCCATCTTTTTTTGTCTTTTCATAGCTTATGATTTGTCAAATTTGTAGTTTTCTTTATTGGTTTTGAGTGTTTATCTTAAAACTCAAGTTTCTTGGTTCTTTGCTCTTGATGTAAAACGAATACATTTGTGGAATCATTTAAATATGTTGGATTTTAAATATATTGGATTTCAAACCATCATACAATTTTTTTCATCGATAGTCTGTAATTGGAACCATAACTCTTATTTATTCAAATTGTATTAATATGTAAAGACCATGTGTAACCTATATCATCGTTAAATCTTATCTTATAAAACCAGTGGAACTTCAAAATCGTTAAAATTCATAACTCCCGCCGCATTGCGCGGGTACACAACTAGTAGTTCCATTAAAAGGCAACCTCTGAATCGTTAAGATGTGAATCTTGTTTGGCAAAAAAAAAAGTTTGCCTCTTAATAGTTCTAAAACCTTCTGAATGATTTTGTATCCAGGATCTCCCTTAACCATTAAGAGCCTTAATTTCATTGTACACAATTACCAAACAATTATATTTCATTTTGCACTATATCATGAGTACCGCTTAATCATTCTGCACCAAACCATTCAGCAATTGCCAAAATTAACTTAAAATGGCATTTTTGCGATTTCTTGTTTGCTTGTTTTTGCAGGTTGCCGTTTACAGATCCAGAAGCGGAACAATACAAACTTCTGTACATAGGTCTTTATCTTCTTATATGGGGAGAGGCTGCTAATTTACGGTTCATGCCCGAATGTCTTGCTTACATTTTTCACCATGTAGGTTGCCTATTTGTTCCGCTACAACAAAACTGGCTTTATAAGGACGTCAATTATGTCTAAATGTCATAATAGACTGCTTTATAGGACCAAAAAATTGTGCGTCCAAAGTACGAATTTTAAAATAAGTGGATAAGATGCTTTTGGTTATGACACTTTTGAACTAAAATGTCCACTTGGTTTTTTTACGAGACCCTTTTCAGCAGTGTCATATAAACACATATTTTTATAAGACAACTTTTTTAAATACTATCATATAAAAAGAACTAGAGTAAAGTTTAATTTTTGGTCCCTAACGTTTGCAATTTTCAACGGATATTGTTCCTAAACTTCAAAAATTAGGATTTGGTCCCTCATGTTTGTCAATTCCTTACAGTTTCGGTCCTCTGTCAACGGTTGTTAACTTTTTTTTTTGTCAAGTTCCGTTAAATAAAAGGTATTTTAGTCATTTTCACTATTTTCTTAATTTTATGTTAAACATATTATAATTTTAATTTTAAATTGTTAATAAAGAAGGATAATCACCACCTTTCGTTTTTATTTTTTCTTTCTTTTTTGTTTTACAATTAAAATTAAAAGATACAATAACGTTAGGGACTAGAATTGAACTTTACTAAAAAAACTATTCAAAGGAGTCTATTTGACTTGTATTAGAACTCATAAAAACGTCCAATCAACTTATTGCAACACTTATAAATAAGACGCACAATTGTTGGGCCCTATATAAAGCAGTCTATTAGAACATTTAGACATACCTAGCGTCCTATAATGTTGATTCTGTTGTAGTGCCTTCTTTCGTGATAGTCTCTCCATTTTGGTTTTCAGTACTAAAAGGATGATCGTCACACTTCATTGCATTCGTGTTTTTGTAGATAGCATTCGACTTGCATAGTATTTTGATGGGTGATACCATCCTATCAACGGGCGATAGTTTCTTGCCTTCGTATGGCCGAGGTCCCGAGTCTTTTCTTGTTAACATGGTCACTCCAATATATGACGTTATTCGCAAGGTACTTCATCCTACAACCGTTTGTTATTCTTGCGCCTTTTTGATTTTGGCGGTCGAGTTTCTAATATTTCTTATCATGTTACTGAAGGAAGCCATGAAAAACCAAAATGGGATGACTGATCATTCCACCTGGAGAAACTACGACGATCTGAATGAGTTCTTCTGGTTAAGTCCCGACTTCAAACCGACTTAATGGCTTGTGCATTTCTTCTAAAGTTATGAATGTAATATCGACATATTTAAGGTAATGACCGTTGGTTTTATATCACTAGGTCGCCTGATTGTTTCCAGCTGGGCTGGCCGATGAATCAGAACCATGACTTCTTCTACGTGCAGTCTCCCGAGGATCCTAAAAGCAAAAACAATAGGGGATCGGGTAAACCTACGACAGACAAGAAGAGAGAAAACAACGATGAAGAAATGGAGGTAAACATATATGTTGAACCCCGTTAGATTACTTTCCAAAAGAGTCCTTGAGAAGAGAAGGGCGGTTCCACGTATATTTAGGAGAAAGGGTCCAAGTCTAGCCGATGTGGAACTCTTAACGTGCCCCCTTCAACCGAGGCTAGATGGGCACATATTGTCCTGAGGTGTCGAGGGGGGCTAGACGATTACAAATTGCCCCAGAGTAGAGTGTTGAGTCCGTACAGTGGTAGATCTTGGCTCTGATACCATGTAGAATATGTTAAACCCCATTAGATTACTCTCCAAAACAACCTTGAGAAGAGAAGGGGGGTTCCAACATATATTCGATTGTCCAAGTCTAGCTGATGTGGAACTCTAACATGCCCCCTTCAACAAGGTGTCGAGGGGGGCTAGGCGAGTACAAATTGCGTAGCGTGTACACTTGGAACCCTATTAGATTACTTTCTAGAACAACCCTTGAGAAGAGAAGGGAGGTTCCATCATATATTGATGAAAAATGGTCCAAGTCTAGCCGATGTGGTACTCTAACCCCATTAAATGATTGTTTTTTTTAGCTCAACGAAGAAGATCAATCTAAAGATGGCGAGTCTAACGTGGAGGACAAGAAGGAGAGAAAATGGTTAGGAAAAACAAACTTCGTAGAGTTCCGCTCATTCTGGCATGTTTTCAGAAGCTTCGATAGAATGTGGGCATTTCTAATTCTATCGCTTCAGGTGCGTTTGAAAGACGACAAACGCGTTAAATGTTGATATCGCTTACGATATTGCTTTCTTTCTGAAACCTACTTTTCTTTCGCAGGCAATGATAATCATGGCATGTCATGATCTAGAATCCCCGTTACAGATGTTTGATACACCCATACTCGAGGATATTATGAGCATCTTCATCACATCCGCTGTTCTTAAACTAGTTCAAGGTCTTGTGCTACTTTAAAACGATCATAAGGACGTAGTAACGACGATAACATTCGTGCCTTTGGTATTCATACATCAAAATCGGCTTTATATGACGCCAAATATGTTTAAATGTTCTAATAAACTGGTTTATAAGACTTAAGTTTATAGAACCAAACAATTGTGCATCTTATGTAAAGGTGTTAAATAAGTTGATAGGACACTTTTGGGTGTTGTAACAAGGTTTTTAGGACAACTTTGAAATAAAACATCCTATTAGTCTTTTTTATACGACAATATTTGAAAAAGTGTCTTAGAAAAAGACGTGTTCATAGGACATTTCTCAAAAATGTCGTATAAAAAAAGCTAATGAAACTTGATTTCAAAAATGTCCTAAAACACTTGTTAGGATGTGTAAATACGTCCTAACTATCTATTTCAACACTTTTATGTAAGACGCACAATTGTTTGGTCCTATAAACTGAAGTCCTAACTCCCACAAAGCAGTCTATTAGGACATTTAGACGTATATGGCGTCCTATAAACTTGTCCTTTTAAAGCAGTCTGTCTATTAGGACATTTAGACATATACGGCATCCTATTCGATTTACTTCCAAACTCTCGTTGAATCTTGCAGCCGTTCTTGATATCTCGTTCACGTGGAAGGCTAGATCGACAATGGACCATTCTAGAGCCAGAAAGCATACATTGAAGGTGGTGATTGCAGCGATATGGACCATTGTCCTGCCTATATTCTACTCTAAAACTAGAAGAAAGTATACTTGTTATTCATCACAATACCGAAGCTGGCTTGGAGAGTGGTGTTATTCATCGTATATGCTCGTAGTCGCGTTCTACTTGATGTCTAATGCCGTCAACATGATCCTCTTTTCCGTACCCGCGATTGGTAGATACATCGAAACCTCAAATTCCAAGATTTCTTCTATTTTATCGTGGTGGACACAGGTATTATCGATCAAAATACATGCATTATATATGGGATCGAACTAGTATTTCTAGAAACGTATTCTAACTTTTCGTGGGCATTTAGCCTAGGTTATATGTGGGAAGAGGAATGCAAGAGTCGCAATTCTCGCTTCTGAAGTACCTTCTAAACTCGTTTCTAGACGTTTATTTGGTCGTTTTTGTCGGAATTTGTCGTGAAATGTGTGTTATGGCGTTGTTTTCAGGTACAGTCTATTCTGGGTGTTGTTACTATTAAGCAAATTGGCATTCAGCTATAGTTTTGAGGTGAGTGTTTCGGTTTGATCCAAGTTTACGTATATTAGATGGCTTATTGACTTCTACAATCGGACCATCAGATAAAGCCGCTCATAGCCCCAACGAGACAGATAATGAGTATTGGGATCACAAAGTACGACTGGCACGAGCTTTTCCCAAGAGGTTAGGCGTGTTTGATCATTCATTACAACAAAATTGGCTTTATAGGATGTCTGTTATGTCTAAATGTCCTAATAAACTGCTTTATAAGACTCGAAGTTTATAGAATCAAACAGTTATAGGACACTTTTTTCAGCATCCTAACAGGTTTGAAATGATTGTATTAGTCTTTTTATATGACGTTTGTAACACTTATTAGAATACCCAAATACAGCCTTACATCCTATTGTAACACTTTTATATAGGACAGACAGTTGTGTGGTCCTATAAACTTAAGTCCTATAAAGCAATCTATTAAGACATTCAGACATATTTGGCATCCTATAAAGCCGATTTTGTTGTAGTGACTTCCGTATGTTCTTCAATAAGTAAAACCAATATCATTCGTTTATCTGACATAACTTTATCTAAACCAGTCAAGAATAATGCCGGTGCGATTGCCGCTATCTGGGCACCGGTCATAATGGTGAGTTATCTCAAGAACATCGTCATCGTTATCATTTCGATACAAGGTTTAATGTTGATATATGTCGTTTTAGGTATATTTCATGGACACCCAGATTTGGTATTCTGTTTTCTGTGCAATCTTTGGAGGACTTTACGGAATCTTGCATCATCTTGGAGAGGTAACGATTAATTAGTTCATTTCAAAGTTAGGGGCTGTTTACCCAAATGCTTACCCGATAAGTGCTTACTTATAGGAGTTAACACTATAATTTATTTTGATGAGTAAGATTTTAGTACATCAAAACGTATTGAATGCAACAATTTACCGGGTAAGCGCTTACCTGGGTAAGAATCGTAATCTTCACTTACCGGGTAAGACTCTCCATCCTTCTCTATCGCTCTTACCCAGTAAGATTCTTGGCCCTTGTCATGTTCATCTGGTAAGAAAATTTATTCTTAAGCACTTACCAAGTAAGCGTTTAGTAAACGGCCCCTTAGTTGATATTATCTAACGCACTTTTTTCATGTAGATTCGCACCTTAGGCATGTTGAGGAGTAGATTTCAAGATTTACCGTTGGCCTTCATGAATTCTCTCATTCCGCATCCTTCGAAAACCGATAAACATCTAAACAGGAAATCTTTCTTGAGCGAGATGTTTCAGAAGGTAAGAAATCTTTCGTTCAACTCATTCCTGGCATTACAACAAAATCGGCTTTATAAGACGTGATACATGTCTAAATGTCCTAATAAACTGATTTATAACACCAAACGACTGTGTGTCATATGTAAAAGTGTTGCAATAAGTTGATAGAAAGCTTTTGGGCATCCAAACAAGTTGATAGTAGTGTCCAGTAAACACATCTTTTTTTCAAATAATATAATACAAAAATACTAATAGGACGCTTTATTTCAAAAATGTCTTAAAACACATCTTATGACGTCCAAAAGCATCCTATCAACTTATTGTAACCTTTTTACATAGGACGCACAATTGTATGGTCCTATAAGTTTAAGTCCTATAAAGCAGTCTTTTAGGACAGTTGGGGCCGTTTGTTAGCAGCTTAATGAGTTTAATGGGACTCGCAACTTATTTCGGTCAGCTATACATGACTGTTTGGTAGTGGCTTAATGATATTCAAAGTGGCTTATTCAATAAGCTTCTATGGGGGAGCTTTATGCAGAAAATCAAGTTTTTTCCAAACCTCTCCCTCCCAATTAAAAGAAATGCTTATTTCATCTATGAAAAAGCCCTCCCAAACAAAAACATTTTCAATCTATACAGACAGATTAATGCACACAGACATCTTTATCCATACATGACTTAATGGAAAACCAACCAAATAGCCCCTTAAAAGCGATTTCTTTCGGGTGTCGGCTTCAAACTCGTGTTTAAGTTGCATTGGCTCTTTGTAGGTGTCCGAGAAACAAATGAGGAACGGTCTAGTGAAGTTCGTTGTCGTATGGAACGAAATCATTAACTGCTTTCGGGAGGAGGATCTCATAAGTAATAGGTTAATTATCTCCATTTTACGTTGTTCGTTTTCAGCAAGACTTAAACAAACATATAAACAAACGTTGTCGAATATAAACAGAGAAGTCGAGTTGATGAAGATGCCGTTATCATCCGAGTTACATTCTGGCGTCGTTTATTGGCCGATTTTCCTCCTAGCAAATAAGGTGCTTTTCGGTTTTCACCATCCATTTTTTGTGCAATCCCGTGTATATATCCAAGCGTGCGCTCATATTTCCCGTTTCTACAGTTGCCTATGGCCTTAACAGTCGCAAAAGACTTCGTCGGTGAAGATGCAAATCTTTCTAAAAAGATCAGAAGAGATGTTTACATGTATATCGCTATAAAAGAGTGTTACGATTCACTGAAATACGTTCTTGATATACTAGTTGTCGGAGATCTCGATAGAAGGTACCTTTAATGGAGTCTATGATTCTTGATTTCGTTCCAAGATTGTTGGCGAATGATGTCCCTGCAAAACTAAACGTTAAAGTTACGTTTTTTTTTTCTAGAATCATAGCTGGGATCGTAGACGAGATTGAAGAAAGCATTAGGAAATCGACAGTTCTTAAAGATTTCGATCTAAGCGAGCTTCTAACTCTATATGCTAAATGCATAGATTTGGTTGAACTTCTGGTAAACCCCGAATCCTAGAACTCGGATTTCTAGTTCTTCGCTGCAAATCTGATTCTAGTTTTCCGTTTTGATCAGGTTGAGGGGAATAAGGAACATCATACGAAAGTCGTGAAAGTGCTTCAAGATGTTTTCGAAATCGTAACTAGTGATATGATGAAAAACGGATCCAGGTTTGCATCTCGTGTTGATTTGTTTTGATTGTTCGGTTTCTAGAATCTTTTTTGGGAAGTTTATTCGATTTGCGTACAGAACGCTGGCTTCGATCCATGCTTACCATCAAACCGAAGGATGTTCAACGACGTATTTTGATGACGTTGAACCCGAACCACCGCTATTTGCATCAAAGCATTCTATCCATTTCCCATTGACAATTAGCGATTCTCTTAATGAGAAGGTTTGCTCTTCCATGTCTACAACTTTCGGTACTCGCTACAAAAAAATCGGCTTCACAATATGTATAAATGTTCTAATAGACTGCTTTATAGGGCTTAAGTTTATAGGGCCAAACAATAGTGCGTCCTATAGAAATAGAAAGGTATTACAGTAAGTTAGCAGGACGCGTTTGGGTGTCTAGACAATTTGAAATAAAACGTCATATTAGTCTTTTTATATGACATTATTTGAAAAATGTCTTAGGGGCCGTTTACCTGAATGCTTACCCGGTAAGCGCTTACCATTAGGAGTCAACACTGTAATTTATTTTACCGGGTAAGATTGTAGTATATCAAAATGGTGTCGTATGCAACAATTTACCCGGTAAGCGCTTACCCGGGTAAGAGTCGTCACCCTCACTTACCGAGTAAGACTCTTCATCTTTATCATTGCTCTTACCGGGTAAGATTTTTGACCCTTGTCATGTTCATCCGGTATGAAAAATTACCCAGTTAACACTTACCGGGTAAGCGTTTAGTAAACGGCCCCTAATTTAATATAAGGGTTATCATCATAAATAACCACATGGGGAAAAAGTTTTACTATCTCCAAATTTTCCTTACAAAATAGCCAAGAAACCGCAAGTCAACGCCGCAAGGCGTTTTTCCTTGCAGTTTCTGACATTTTCTGACGCACCCAGATGAAAAGTGGGCCCACTGCAAAAATAAAATTGAGATGCCGTAGCTTGCGGCACCTCAAGGACATGCGTCGACGCACAAAAAGCTATCCAAAAGATGTGTTCATAAGACACTTCTCAAAAGTGTCTTATAAAAAGAGCTAATACGACACCTTATTTCAAAAAATGTCCTACAAAACTTGTTAGGATGTCTGAATACATCCCATCAACTTATTGACACATAAATTATTTGATCTTTTAGACTTAAGCCCAATAAAGCAGTCTATTAGGATATTTAGCCATATTTAGCTTATTATAAAGCGGATTTTGTTGTAGTGACTATACTTCTGCTAGAAAACTAATACGTACCTTGGCTACGTAGATCAAGCGTTTCCTTTTGCTGCTTACTGTCAAAGATACAGCAATGGACATACCTTCAAACCTCGATGCACGAAGGCGTATATCGTTTTTTGCAACGTCCCTATTCATGGATATACCTCGAGCTCCAAAAGTGCGCAACATGCTATCTTTCAGGTTTGCATTGTTCGTGTTTCCCATTAGTAAATCGGTTTCTAGATTCATCATAAACATCTAGCATTCTGAAAACAGTATAGGAAACTCGAGCAAGATATGATACGGGATTCTGCTAATCGATTATTTTTGCGTTGTGATGATAGCGTTTTGACTCCGCATTTAATGGAAGAAGTTAAATTCTCTACAAAGGAGCTAAATTCACAAAAAGATTACGTTTCCATCGGCTTCTATATGCAGAAAATATTTCCAGGTACGCAGAAAATATTTCCAATATGTAGACGGAAGTTTCGTTAGAACCCAAAATTGATTAGGAATCTGAGAACCGCCTACAGCGCACCATGTGTCCCTCTTCATGATGAATAACACATTCATGATGAATATGGACGTGTTATTCATCACGAATCACACATTCATGATGAATAACATGTCCAAATTCCTGATGGAAATGTTACGTGTCGTGTTGTAGGAGGTTCCTGGGTTTCTGATCAATTTTATTGTTGGAGTCCCACATCAGCTAGACTTGTATTATTTCTCCTCCATATATATTTCTCTTTAGTACATGTTGGAAACTCGTTTCACTCCTCAAGGGTTCTTTTGGATAGTAATCTAGTTGGCTTCCGCATATTTTCACATGATATCAGAGTCAATGTCTACCATTCTTGGACAATTTGTGCCCGTCTAGCCTCCATTGGAGGGGGCATCTAGAGTCTCATCTCGGCTAGACTTGGACCATCTCTTTTCAGTATATTTGGAAACTCCAGTTCTCTCCCCCCAGGAGCTCTTTGGAGAGTAATCTAATGGGGTTCCACATATTATCACATAATGATTTCTGTCTGTCTATTTTCTCAGACGAGTTGGAAAATTTCCTGGAACGAATGGGGGTTGAAAATCTAGAGGAGCTAGATGAGCACGGAAAGGAGGAGCTTCGAGATTGGGCTTCTTTTCGTGGACAAACTCTAAGCAGGACGAGTGAGTTTTCAAGAAACGATAAGTTCTTTTGATATTCACATGTGAATAGTCACACTCAAATATCTATGTTTTGCTAATAGTCAGAGGGATGATGTACTACCAGAAGGCCCTAAAGCTGCAAGCTTTTCTCGACATGGCTGAAGACGATGGTTCGTTATAATTTTTCGATCTAACGGTTGAAAGCCAGGGTACCCATATGGCACATGGTCTGATTTTGTTCGTTTCTATCGGTTTATCAGATATTCTTCAAGGTTATGCTGCAATCGAAGGGGGGAACGATACACTATCCGCTCAGCTTGATGCACTCGCAGACTTGAAATTCACTCACGTCGTGTCTTATCAACTTTTCGGATCACAGAAGACGTCTGGCGACCCTCAGGCACAAGAAATCATCGAACTTATGATAAGGTAATCAACATCTTGGTAGTAGCTTAATCAGCTTAACGGGACTCGCAACTTATTCAGTCAGTTATACAAGATTGTTTGGTAGTGACCTAATGATATAGAAAGTGACTTATCTAGTAAGCTTCTAGGGGCAGCTTTCTGCAGCCAAGTTTTTTTCCTAACATGCCCCTCCAAATAAAAAAACACGCTCCTTTCATCTATGAAAAAACCATCTCAAACATCCCCTAAGCTCCGCTCTGATACCATGTAAGAATATGTGGGACCCCATTAGATTACTTTCGAAAAGAACCCTTGACTCTAACAACTTATGTTCGTTGTTTTGACAAGGTACCCATCCTTACGTGTTGCTTATGTTGAAGAGAGAGAAGAAATAGTCGAAAACAAGCCACTAACGACTTATTCATCCGTTTTAGTCAAAGCGGTCAACGGTCTTGATCAGGTACAAAGCGAGATGGACTCTAACCGGCCACTATGGCTTTTCTAGAAAAGATGTTAAACGTTCATTATGTGGTTGCAGGAGATATATCGCATAAAGCTCCCGGGTTCTCCAAATATCGGAGAAGGGAAACCTGAAAATCAAAACCATGCCATAATTTTCACTCGTGGTGAAGCTCTACAAGCAATTGATATGAATCAAGTACGTTGAGTTTCAATCTGAATAGATATCTTAATAGATTGCTGTATATGATTCTAGAGATGTCTAAATGTCCTAACAGACTGTTTTATATGACACTAAAGATGTCTAAATGTCCTAATAGACTGCATTATATGACGCTAAAGATGTCTAAATGTCCCAATAGACTGCATTATATGACGCTCAATGCTTTATATGATGCCAAAAATGTCTAAATGTCCTAATAGACTACTTTATATGACGCTAAAGATTTATAAATGTCCTAACAGACTGCTTTATATGACGCCAAAGATGTCTAAATATCCTAATAGACTGTCGTATAAATGTCCTAATAGATTTTTTTATATGATGCTAAAGATGTATAAATGTTCTAATAGACTGCTTTATATGATGCCAAAGATGTCTAAATGTCCTAATAAACTGCTACATATGATGCCAAAGATGTATAAACTACATATGATGCCAAAGATGTCTAAATGT